TGTCACATTTTCCTTCAAAGCTATCATGTTTGTGGTGACTCAGCTCTGAGTCACCACAAACATTGTATGTAAAAATAAGGCTAGTAAAACAGGAAATTAAAATATCCACATGTAACTTATGATAGGTCTTTCCTAATTCTATTTTTTCTTATAATGATATCCTGGATTGACGTCAGCATTTGTAAGAGATGCCACACTTCATATTCAAGATTCAAACCCAATCGATCTAACACAGGCTTTTGAAAATTATTTAGGATTACCTGCACCTCAATGCATATATACAGAGACTTTTTGTCTCAGGGTTATTCCTGCACTATTCTTCAATACAGATTTCTCCATTAGCAATAGCTGAGCTTTGTATACTTGGGTAAGAAACCATAAAGTGACTCATCTGACCATAGTTGAAACAGGTACTCCTCCTCCAGAAAATAATCCACTTTACCAATGCTCCCTTTTTCAAGGCCTTTGTAATTATTATTATTTTGCACACATTTCCACTGTTGGGGAAGATTTTCTCTTTCTCATCCTGTACCCATTTATTTTTTACTCCCAAGCTTGGAAGGATACTCCATAAACTAAGCATTTCGGATTAATACAACATGGTCAGCTAATTCTGATGCTTGGGAAATATTCTAGCAGTTCTATCTTTGTGCAATAACATTGGACCCTTGTAATAAAATTTGTCTAAGCCTATTTAATAATATATGATGGAAATCAAATAATTTCCATAACTGCAGTTAGTTTCATCAACCAATTTCAACAGATTTTGTAAGACAACCTGAAATTCCAGAAATATTTTTCTTTCTCTCTCTGCAGGGCTTTAAACCCCATCTCCCAAAAGAGTCAGGTCACAACTTAAAATTTTAATGCTGAACAGTATATTCAACAAAAGTAAAAATGCCCTTGTGGTATTTTTTGTATATTTCAGCTAAATCATCTGACTAGACTTGAAATGTGTGATAAACAGTAATTGCATTCTAATAGCACTGCAGTGAGGTCTTGTTCAGTATTAGACAAAACATGTCTGGGTCATCAGCAGAAATAACAGGAGTGGATCTAGGAAAATGCAGATTGTAGTCCCAACTAAGCCATGCAACTTGGTGGGCAAGCCAGGGTCTGTTTTAACGTGTATGTATGTGTGTGTGTCAAATTAGAACCGACATAGTGACCGTAATAGGGCTTTCAAGGAAAGTGACATATTTGGGGACTGGTTTTACCAGTTCCACTTCCCCAGTAAATTCCCATGGCTGAGTGGGGATTTGAACTCTGTTCTCCAGAGTCCTTGTCCTTCACTCTGTCCACTAAATCACACTGAAAACTAGAGTTGATCCATTGAATTAGTTGGATGTGCATAGGTCTTGATGTAACAAATTATGTATGTTCATTCAATAGCTTTGTTTTAGTTGGAATTAACAAGTAGATTTAGTATTAGCCTTTTATATGGTGTTCGAGCTATTGTTGATCTGTACAGTGGGGTCTTGACTTGAGAACTCAATCCGTATTGGAAGGCGGTTCTCAAGTCAAAAAGTTCTCAGGTCAAATCTGCATTTCCCATAGGAATGCATTGAAAAACATTTGATCCGTATCTGCTCTTTTCCGTCCATAGAAACTAATGGGAAGCTGCTATTCTGCCTTCGACCACTAGAGGGGGATATTTTGTTTCTTTTTTTCTTAGGTCAAGAAAGGTTCAGGGAAGGCAGAGAAAATACAGTCCAGGCAGTACAGTACCAGGCAGTCTGAAGACTGTCTCCCAATCCACTCTCTAAACGCTGGGAGGAGTGAGGAAGCAGACAGGCACCCTTTTCACTGGCCACCAGTTAACTGAAAGTTCCAATTTTGCACTTTCCCTGCCTCCCTCGTGGTTTTTTTTCAGTTCTTAACTCAAATCTAAGTATGTAAGTCAAGTCAATATTTTCCTATGAGAGTGGTTCTTAAGTCAAAATGTTCTTAACTCAAGCCATTCTTAAGTCAAGACCCCACTGTAATTCCCATAACTCGTCACTATTGCCTATGCTAGCTTAGACTGATGGGAGTTGAAGTTCATCAAAATTTGAAAGTCTACAAGTTCCCCATTTCTGTTGTGCACTATACTTCTTCATCTTTCTACTTTATATTTTTCTAAATGTATACACCTAAAACTCATAGTCCTAGTTCACCACCAATATCCTCCCCCCTCAATCTTAGATAAATTACTTATTTGGATTACAGTTCCCAGAATCACTCATCCAGTGTGGCTACTTCACACAATTAATTAACAGAATTCAGTGTCACAAAATATGCTGGTAGCAACTTAATATTCGATAGCAGTCAGTCTACTGAAAAGTTCCACCAACTTAAAAAGATCAGTTGTATGATGAGTGTGTTATATAGAGTTTTGAATTTCTGGTAAAATTATCTTTGCTATGCAGTAGAAGTACAGAATTCCACAGAGAAGAATAGCTACAGGTTTCCAAGAGTCCACCTGTTTCTCATTAACTGGTATTTAAAATATCAATAACTCATTCTGAGACATTTGTAGGAGAAAGAATAAAAAACATTACTTATAGTTGCTTGAATTTACAGATGTGTCTATACTGCTTTCTTCACTGTCCATATATTTAGCAACCAACAGTACAGATGAACAGCAAGCAACCCTCCTACAACCCGGGAAAAAAAACACTCAGGAAACAGGCAGAGCTCTCCCTGAAATCAAAGCTTGAAAGGAACAAACCCGCCAGCACTGAACCAATAGACAATCACACTAGCCCAGAAAAGTCCCTCCCTGCCACACAAGCTACAGACTGCATGCAAGGTTGCAAACAAAAACTCCAACAGAGTGTATATAAACACATCCTTTCCTTAAGTTTAGGGCATACTATGTTACACAAGAAACATTGTTAATTCGGATGTGCCGTTCTCTGTTCTGATGTATTATAATAGACAAGGAGAAACAAATTTTGTTTCTGATATTGTGAAAAAGAAAAAGTAGTAGTAGTAGTGTGCATTAATGTGTGCAAGAAAAATTACTGGATTTACATTTTGAAAAATGTTGTGAGATAAAGCAAGCAGTGAACAAGACCAGGTCCCACAAGCATTATGCTAACTTCATGTGTCAAGTTGTGTTCTTATTCTTGTAGGAGTGGTCAACTTTTCCAGAGGTTACCGGACTGCAGTTCTCATTAGTCCTGGCCAATATAGTCAATAGCAAGGAATAATAAGCACTGCATTGAAACATCTGGAATGAGACAGGTTGCCCATCCCTGCTGTAGAAGGACATCTGGGACATTGTTGTGCTTCAGCAGTTGGTGCCAAGATGTCTCGAACCAATCCTGGGGTGCACGTTTCAAAGCAATTTACAAAAGTTACTCTTTTGAACTGCAACCCCAGAATTTCACAGGCAATGTTGGCTAATGCTTGTTGCAGGATTCTGGAAAATATTGTCCAAAATTAACATTTCCAAGCTGTTAGCAATTGATATTTAGTCACTTGAAAATTCCCTGTACAGTATTTTCAAATTAACAAAAGATTGCAGGCTATTCCAGTAGAGGGCATGCGTTCCTTTTGCTTTACTTTCTTTTTCCTGCTGCAATGGTAAGAAACTGGCCAACCTTATATCTACGTTACCATGTGACATGAAAATGCTATGGACTGTAACTCAGGCTTATCTGGACTACTTCAAAGTTTTTGCTAGTTGCATTTTTAGTGATTATATTATGGACTCAGGCCGACAGCTGAGCAAACCACTTTTAATCAGTTCTAACTGTAATTTCAGTGTTGTTTTTAGTGCTGCTTGCCACCATAAATTTCCATTCGAAAGAGTTTGTATACTTTGAAATAATAGCAATAAGTCCATTATAACTACCAGTCATTATTCTAGTCAAATCAACTGATGTTTTGTCCATTAACTTATTTGGAAAAGCAGTTTATACCAGCGGTTCTCAATTTTTTTGTCCTCCAGATATTTTAGTCTTTAAGTTCCAGAATTCCTAGCCACTACGGCCAATGGTCAGGGATTCTTTTGAGTTACAAGACCAGAGCATGTCAAGGACCAAATATTGAGAATCACTAGTTTACACCTTTCCATTAGTCATAGAAACTATGCATAATTTGGTTCAAGATTAAGATTAAAACCAGATCTATTAGAGCAAGGGTCTAATAGGGGGTTGGCTTATACTAAGCAACAGGATTTCAACCCATGTATATGTCAGCATTCAATTAATATCTTACACAACAGGTAAGGAACATGTGTCTCTTTGAATGTTGAGCTGAAATTCTCAGCAGACCTAATTAGCACAGCCAACAGTGAAGGAAGAGTTGCAATCAAAAAACATCTAGAAGGCCAACTATCCTCCACCCTGAGTCATAACTTCCTTTGTTTTTTCAAAAGAACCAACCACACCCTTTTATCAATAATCATTTACCTTCCCCCCCCCCAATATGCTCAATCTTTTCTCATTTGTGCCTCTGTGGCACATAGCCAGGAAAAAAACAAAACACCATGTCCTAGGGAACTGTTTCAATAATTAGAAAGAAAGAAGGCTTTGCTCACTAATTTATGTTGGTACAGTGGTGCCTCAATTGACAAGGATAATCCGTTCCAGCAAAATCGCTGTAGAATGAAATCGTCATCAAGCGAAAGTAAAAATCCCATTGAAATGCACTGAAAACCGGTTCAATGCGTTCCAATGGGCGGAATACCTCAGCGTCCAGCAAAGATCCTCCATAGGGTGGCCATTTTCTGGTGCCTGTAAAGTGAAAAAGCCTTCCTAAACACAGCAGGCAACCATTTTGAAAGCCCAACGATCAGCTGTTTTGACGTTAAGTGAAAAATCAGTTCCTGAAGCAAGGAACCAATCATCGTGAAGCGATTTTTCTCTATTAAAACATCTTTTTGCAATCGTAAAAACTTCGTTAAGCAATTTTCTCGTCTAACGAGGTAATTGTCAAGCGGGGCACCACTGTATTTTAAATGTAGAAATATATAAGATCTTAAGACCTATCAACAAACCACACAAAATTACTATTCGTAAATGCTCTTTTATTATATTCTACAATCATATTGTTATATAAGAATCACAACTGTAGATGAAACTGAATTCAGGACCAAAGAAAAGAGAAAGGAAGCAACATATTTTATTTTGGATTTAATTTTCGAACCTTATTAACTCTGCCTGGGTTTGAAATACAATGCTTGCATTCAGAATTTTACATTTATTCAGGTAGTGGGGTAAGGGAGGGGAATGGAGTTATATTTAAAAATGAACTTTTTGCAATCATTTATTACATGACTTTGTAGAACAAAACTGAATTTTTTCTGTTCTTCTAAAAACCCAATTCCAGATCTTCCAGCTCCTTGAGAAGAGCAGCCTCTTTCTGAATTTTCTCCAACTATAAGAGGTAACAAAAGACACCATCAGATTCTGTTTAAAGAACCCAATGAAAAACCAAAGTACAGTACATGTTACTGTAATCTCAAGAAACTTTAAAAAGAACCCCAAGTGGCTTGTGCCATTAAAAAGAAACAATATTAAAAGCTAAAAGCTCTAAGTGATTAGAATATTTAAAAAGAATTAAACAACCATAATATTAAAAATAGTAGATAAAAAGCATGATTGAAAATAGGTTTAAAAGCAACAAAAATACAACAATCCCATTTAAAAAAACCTCTTAGACAATCACAAAAGGGAAGATGCCTGGAGAGAAAGGTCTTTGCTTGCTTGTGTTAAGGGCAGCAAAAGCGGGACCAGCCTGGTCTCCCATGGGAGGGGGTTCCAGAGTCTGGGTGCAGCAAAAGAGAAGGCCCTCACTGGTGTCCCCACCAAGCACACCTGTGAGGGTCATCAGACTGAGAGAAGGGCTTCCCCTGCTGATCTTAAAACTTGGATGGGTTCATAAGGAGAGATGCAGTCTTTGTGATAGCTTGGACCTAACAATAAAGGTTTATATGTATGGTTTAGAGATAATAATCAGAGTGTCTCCCACTCACTAGTAATAGGGGAAGTTGGGAGTCTTCTAAAAGAAACTGATGGGCAGTAGGTTTAGGGAGTACTTATTTGCACAATCTACAACCCACATTATAGAACTCGCAGACACAGACTTAAGATGTTTTAAAAGGTGACTATATTGTTTCATGGAAAATAGAACACTTAATAATTTTTCATCATAGCAGCTAAACATAACCACAGAAACATGATACTCATTTTTGGGGGGATAAGAACTAGCTTTCATTCCAAAAACCAAGTTGCTAGAATATTCAACAGGGCCAGGTTGCAACCCTCAGGGGCAAAAAGGATGCTTGTTTCTGGACTAGCAGAGGACATCCTGTGCAGAAAATGCTGTCATTTCACAGCATCTGCACTGGAATACATTTAGAGATCTTACTGTCACGAAGAGAAAAGCACTTACTGAATTTCTATCTGGCAAGGTGTTTTAAGAACAAAGTACATAACAAATCCTGTATTCTGTCCATAGCACAAATCATAGTGAATAAGGGTTCACATAAATAAATAATCAAATATGAATATGTGAGGAATACCTGGTTTTTCTCTAGCTGTTTCCCTGTAGCAGACTGCTCTTTCAGCTGTTCAATTGCTTTCAGCTTCTATAGTGAGGAATGCATGTTGAAAACAAAGAAGAAAACATTAGGTGATGCTTGTATGCTTGCGCCAAGGGGATGCAGGTGTCCTCCCTGGCTGTTCAAATACTGTCTTTCAAGAGAGTGAAGAGGTTTCTTCCCACCTCCACTTCCAAAATGTATTATTCTTAGAAAGAAGTATGGTCAGCATACAGAAAGATCAAGAAGCAAGTGCCTCCTCCTTAAGGGACACAAGAACTGTTCATTAAACAATTGTTTTACATAAACAAAAATATTTTTGATGGGGCATTAAAGCAGGTATGACCCTCCAAGGAGCAGGGACGGATGTGTGCAAGCCCCCTATCCGCAGGCCTCTGAAAGCTGTCCACCTTTGTACTAAGGGAAGTTGTTACTTTAGGGCAGTGGTTCCTATGGGTCTCCAGATGTTCTTGGACAAAAACTCCCAGAAGCCTTCACCACAAGCTGTGCTGGTCAGGATTTCTGGGAGTAGTAGTCCAAGAACACCTGGAGACTCAAGATTGGGAACCATTGCTTTAGGACAAGAGCAGACAATAGGTTCTTCAGTAAGAGGATAGAAATGACAGATGTCTGTAAGTGGGGAAAACACTTTTTTGCAAGCTTCTTTGTTAGAAGAATTCCCCACCTTCCTCAGATTCTTTATCTTCTTATCCACCTCAGGATCTCCTGATGTTACAGCGGGCACTGTATTGTGCAATAAATTCTGTGGTGGCGGATCTGGAGCAGTTTCCTGGTTCCCTTCAGCTCTTGCCTCCTTTGAACAACAACATGTTTTATCAGAACAGCATGCTTTCAGCCACAATCATTTTTATAGCATTTATTCTCACTGACTTTTTGCTGAAGTTTTTCAGCTTTTGTTCTTAGTTTATTCACATTCTATGATGATGAAGCAGATACTTTCAAGTTCTGTGCAAAAAACTGATAAAACAAGTTTACCAAACAGAAATGCAGCACTTTGCTCAAGAGAATTAAGACACCAGCCATACCTGTTTAGCAATTTTCTTTGCCTCGTGCTTCCTTTGATTTTTGAGTGCTGTTTTAGATAATGGCTTATCGCTGCTTTTTGACTGTGGTCTCATGTTCTGTGGTGGCTCTTCCTCATGCTAAGGGAAAGCAGAATGGGGATAAAAAACAAACACCAGGAAAAACATTACTGAGAACCAAGTTTATATTCTGAAATTAAAGTAGGAAAATATGCCTGAAAATCCCCCCACATACTGATTCTAGCACCCGATAAAAGAAGCTTCTGATGTTTTACTTACCCACACTTATTGCTATGAAACAAATAAAGCAATTTCTACATTTAAGTGTACTCACCTCAGTGCTAAATTGTATGAAATATTTTGATTGCCCCTCAGAACTACATGTGTGAATATGTTTGTCATTTGTGATGTCTCTGAGCTATCATCAAGTTCTGTATCCCCGGGCCATACATTATCTAGCAAGTTATCAAGGGGCTGATAAAAAGCAACACTTTCCCATGAGCTCAGACTCTATAAGAAGATCAGCAGCACCTAGCAGTCAGGGCTTCACCATTATGGGTCTCATACTCATTTCACACTAATGTTACCTGTGTAAAGTCTATGCTACCTTGCTTCAAGTTTGCTAATCCTATCAGTGAAGAGATATTATTGATTTGGGAGTCCAGTCCGACCCCATTACCAACTAGTTGGCCACCTCTAAGCTATATTGATTCATAAACTCCAAACATCTCTTACAATAAAAAACGGAACATTATTTATGTATCTCAGGAGCTACTTGTTCCTTATCCATTGATTCCACTGTAAGCTGTCAACTCACACTTCCAAGCAGAAAAAATTTAAGAGCATATCACTTAACTGCAGAGCTTGAAAGGAAAATCTGAAGAATGCGAAGATGAATCTAAGCCTCTCTTTAAAAAAAACTCAGAAAAAGGCCAATTTTTTTAATTATATGATTATTCTGTAGGGAAAAAATTCCCCTAATATGCTGGTTGCTTCTAAGGAATTTAACTTTAAAACATCATGCACATTAATGATTCTAATAAACACCAAATGTTTATTATCCACAAAACTAATTTTATAACTTAAGAGTAGAACATAATTGCATCAGTCCTCTTCCATAACGAATTCCATCAATTGGAATATGACTTTACAAATAATCAACAATATGGGAGTAATTACTGCTTCCTTCGGAGCTGGGAGCCACAAATTACAACCTTTTCAAAGAAAAGAAACAAAACAAGAAATAGTTATGGTCACAAATTTGCTTTTGAAGACTAAAACAAAAACTCTGAGAACTCTCCCTCTTAATTTCTGTGCTCAATTTAAGGTGCTGGTCATGACATATAAAGCCCTTAACGGTTTAAGAGGACCTTGATATTCAGCAGAACTTCTCTCCCCTAAAATACCTACCCATCCCACGTGCTCCTTTGCAGTTCTTGATGTTAAGAATTTTAAGCCAAAAAAGCCAATAGTAGGAACAAAGCTTTTTGGGTTGTGGCCCTTTCCCTCTGGAATAATCTTCTTCTAGGTCCAGGCACCATTCATCTCTGTTTTTAGGAAGCTAATTAAGAGTGAATTATATAAAGCTGCCTTCTACTAGTGTGAATATGGTCCTGAGATGTTCAAATTAGTTTTAATTTCTGTATTTTTTATCTAAAGGTAGTTTAATCTAGAGACAAGAGTCACCATATTTCATTGTTTATTTAAAATATATATATTACATAACGCTTTAGTGTATGATGTTATTGTATAATGTGAACCTCACAATATTAAAGAGGCAGTATAGAAATTGAAATTAAAAAAATTAAAAGAAATGGCTCTATAGAAAGGGACAGTGCAAAGGTAACTTGTTCCCTCTAACCTATAATTAGGAGGCAGTGAGCTGGGCACAGGTCTATCTCTTAAAAATTGGTTCTCTTATATATCACCTGTGATAAAGGTGTGCTATCACACTTTTCCTGTAAACTAAGGAAGATGTCCAAAGGAAGGACAGGGTTTACCTCAAGCCTGTCTGGGTGGAATAAATGTAAGAAAAGGATTAACATTTACTGGTTCAAAATTGGGAAAGGAGTATAACAAGGCTGTATATTGTCCCCCGGCTTATTTACAGGGCTTCACCATTATGGGTCTCATACTCATTTCACACTAATGTTACCTGTGTAAAGTCTATGCTACCTTACTTCAAGTTTGCTAATGCTATCAGTGAAGAGATATTATTGATTTGGGAGTCCAGTCCGACCCCATTACCAACTAGTTGGCCACCTCTAAGCTATATTGATTCATAAACTCCAAACATCTCTTACAATAAAAAACGGAACATTATTTATGTATCTCAGGAGCTACTTGTTCCTTATCCATTGATTCCACTGTAAGCTGTCAACTCACACTTCCAAGCAGAAAAAATTTAAGAGCATATCACTTAACTGCAGAGCTTGAAAGGAAAATCTGAAGAATGTGAAGATGAATCTAAGCCTCTCTTTAAAAAAACCTCATAAAAAGGCCAATATTTTTTATTATATGATTATTCTGTAGGGAAAAAATTCCCCTAATATGCTGGTTGCTTCTAAGGAATTTAACTTTAAAACATCATGCACATTAATGATTCTAATAAACACCAAATGTTTCTTAACCACAAAACCAAGGAGAACAAACCTATCAACTCTAAAGGAAATCAACCCTGAGTGCTCACTCGAAGGACAGATCCTGAAGCTGAGGCTCCAGTACTTTGGCCATCTCATGAGAAGAGAAGACTCCTTGGAAAAGACCTTAATGTTAGGAAAGTGTGATGGCAAGAGGAGAAGGGGACGACAGAGGATGAGATGGTTGGACAGTGTCATCGAAGGAACCAACATGAACTTGACACAGCTATGGAAGGCAGTGGAAGATAGGAGGGCCTGGCGTGCTCTGGTCCATGCGGTCATGAAGAGTCGGACATGACTAAATGACAAAAGGATTACCATGTGCAGCAGCCCTGTAACATTTGTGCAGTAAATGTAAGGAGGTCTTGGATCTGATCTACGGAAGAAGTGGTGATCCTATATGTTGGAAAGTGCTGAACATATGAAGCAGCCTTTGTAATTGCATGATACAGTTATGCCAGATAACTGTATCAAATCTATCTACAGTATAAAAAGAAAAAAAATGCCATGGCTGTTGACCCAAAACTATCATTCAGTTATTGAAGCTCAGAACTTGCCTTATTTGCTTAGTGTCTCTATTTTGTCACAGTTTGTCTACACAAACTACAGACTGACTCTGTAAGTGGATTCTTCATACAGCCAATAAGGCTCTACTTATGTTGCAAACATTTTTTTCTGAGGGAGTAATAAATTGACAGCTATTTTAAAAACAATTCTAAGATGACATATGATTGCCTTTTGCTAGTGAACAGCAATGATCTTGTGTAATAGTTTTACTTGTTGCTGATAAGTAGGTTAATAGTTGTTTAGAAATAAGCTTCAAAGAATTAACTGTACAATCCTCTTGGGAAAAAGAGTTCATTACCAGAATTTGCTTGCACATCTCATACAAGCTCTTCATTCGTGGCTGTACAACAAGCAAACTGCTCAATCACTGAACAGTTTGTAGTGATACAGCAATACTGAGGATGGAAACAGGCATGGAGGGCTAATGAAGAGGAGGTGCAGTAGTGCTAAGCACCTGGAAGTCCATTTGTAGCCAAAACCCTATTCATTATCAAAATAAAAGGAAGGGTGTATGTGGTTTCACATACACCTGAGCAAACCATAGCTCTTCCATCATTAAGTGCAATAATGAATGAAAAATGTTTATGATGCAGCTTTGCTCTTAGTATCTCTCTTTTTCAATGAGATATAGCCTACTGTTCCCAAAAGGAATGAAAGGTACAGGAGCAAAGAGGAAACCCCCTTTCCACAGAATTACAATGAAGCCAGCAAGTTATCCTTAAACATGTGGTTCAGGAAATTTAAAGTATACAGTGGTGCCTCGCTTAACGGGTGCCCCGTTTAACGAGGAATCCGCATAGCGATGAAGATTTTGCCATTGCTTTTGCCATTGCTTTTGCCATCGCATTGCCACGCTTTGCTGGGGTGGGGGTGGGTGCATTTTCACTGCTGTAAAAAGCCCCAGGAGGCTTCTGAAAGCGGCGCTTTGCTTTGAACATATCTTGAAAACATTTTTACAAAGTTTATTGATTGCCTCCTTGTTTAGGTTCTTCCAACCAAAATGTCTTATGCAGCCAATTTAAAAAATGTTATGAGCATGCAGAATCGACAGAAAAAGGAAGAAGAACAAAATGTGCCCTCAGAAGAATCAGAGAGCCGTGGGGGAGGCGCGAGGGGGGTGGCGGGCCTGTCCAGGTGGGGAAAATAAGGTTGAATTCAGATTTATATGTACTTCGAAGGCACTTGCTGGTTAACTGATTTCAGTAGCTCTACTCTGTCCAAATGCAACATATAGAATCCACCCCACATAAATTAAAATGTAACATTAATTTGCTTATCTTCACACTCTCTCCAGCTTTTCAAACTTTTTTGTAAGAAAAATCTGTACCATGATCTAGCAGAAAACACTTGGGCAAATTGGTAGTGCATACACATTTCACTCATTATGTGTATTTTAAGTGCTTTGATTTAAAAGATCAATTATCTGTTGGGAGCAAGAGGAGAATCCCAACTGGAGCTATACTTGAAGAGTGCTAGTTAGATTATCTTCCACATTTGATATTTAGGTAGAAAAACAATAGGCTAACTTTAGTACTACCCCTTCCACCTGATTCCAGAACAGAGAAGACATCTCACAGTGGTACATTATAGTGAAAATAAAGGTTACTTACAAGTTTAGAACTAGTTACAGGTTTGTTTCTGAGAGCAGGGGGCCTATAGGCCTGGGCAGCCTTTGGCTCATCATTCGGCACTTTGCTTGGGACAGCATGGTAGGTTACTGCCTTTGTTGGAAACACTCCATCCAAAAAGGGTTGCCAGGAAACTTGCCAAAGTTCTGCGTTCTGCGGGACTTCATATTTGTATAGAACAGAACCAGTGTAATGCCAGATTTTGTATCCATTCCCAACTCGCAGCCTTGGAGAACATGTAGCAGTTACAATGTGTTCTCCGTCAGGACACCATGCAAAATATGTTGAGTCAGAGGCCTGCGGCTTGGCAATGAGTTTGTAGTTTTTAACATCCCACACGTCCATTTGTCCACTGAGATTCCCAAACCCAGCTAATACCAAGATATGTCCTTGGGGGCTGTAGTAAGCAGCATTGTGTGGGCCAGTCCCAAAATCAAACACAGGATCACATTTCAGATTGAAGATAGTTGCTTTGGCAGGCATAAAACCATACACAACACAGAACTCCAAGGCACTGGGACTCCAGGTGACATCATAAATAGGGCCATTTTTTGCTAGAGGAAGAGAAAAAACCCACAGTTATAGCACGAAACCAAAATAAACTGTGCTGCTTATGTTAGGGGGGACAGGATGAAACCCTATTTTAACAGGAGATATTATGTTTAATTATGCATAATTATTGCTTAAGGTATATTAGATTTTTCTGTAAAAGGTTTTAAGCATTGCATGGACTCTGTAATCTGTAACCAAAATACCTTGTAACCTTTGTATCTGAAGCAGTACAGTTATATCGTTTATAAGGACATGATTTCTTTAACAAGGTCTTTAACTAGCTCATGTAACCTTCCCTATTGTGCTCTTGTAGTCTTAGAAGATACTCCTGTATTCCTGCATACCACAATCACCTTGATCCTTGCCAGCCCAGCAATAAGAGAAATCAACACCCCAGTGAGACAGCATACAGGCCCCACTTGTAATAACAATACAGGTTTCTACCATTCAAGAGATGGGTAATTCCGGAGACAAATGGCTTACTATAGCCTCTCTAGTCCACTGTAGATATTTTGACACCACTAAGAAAATTCTAGCAGTTGAAGGCCATATACCGGGGACCAGCAAAGAGTAACATCAACATCCTGGCTTACTATAGCCTCTCTAGTCCACTGTCGATATTTTGACACCACTAAGAAAATTCTAACAGTTGAAGGCCATATACCGGGGACCAGGAAAGAGTAACATCAACATCTTAATGAGATAAGAGGAATAGAGAAAATACCTCTTCAGTCATTCAGGCAACATCTTTGCACACCCCGGGTACATTCTGACCTTAGGTCAAGGGAACATGGGGGCACACTATGGATATTCACGTATAACCAATGGTTGTAGTTAATTGGCATTTTTGGTCCAATTAGGAGCAGGATCCAAACTTGGGGTTCAGGGAACCAATAAGGAATGTGGTGCTTTATGGCTCTTTGTGTAGAAATGTTATATCTATTCCCATGACAATCGGGGCCAGTCCTCTGCTTTTAAGAGGAAGGGTCCAGCTGTACTTTTCAATAAAGATTGGCTTTGGTACCAGCTGTTAATGCGTCTTAGCCTACCTGTCTTTGCCGGAGATCGAAGGCAACACTTATATACCACTGCATAAAACTTTAAGCAGTCTCTGGGCAGTTTACAATTTAATTCTGCAGGCTACACATTACCCCACCCCCACCAAGCTGGGTACTCAATTTACCAACCTTGGAAGGCTCAGTGAATCCCAAACCAACTACATAAGACTGAACATGGGTTGTGAGGGGAGTTTTGTCTGTGCTACCACAGCACTGAGCCATGGGGCTTGTCTTGTAAACAGGTATTGATATTTTTCAGAATGAAGACCATGAGATATGAATTTGAAAAGTAGTAACATGTGATATTAATTCCCTTTAGCAAATGTGAGTAAAGGATGAAGGTTTTGCTGCCTCTCTAGGACTGCGAACAAAGCAAACTGCAAACATTCCAGTAGTACACATTTTATGTATGAAAGAGAACTCAACAATCGCAATATATGTCTGATGGGGTTTACACTGTGTTGACCTATACTAGTATTCCCCTCTGCCAAAGATTAGTGACATCTCTGCTCAGGATCTGAAGCCAACAAGTTAGCAATGGGAGAAATACCAGCCTATTAGTGGCACCAACACTGGCCTAATAATCTTCAGTACTGTTATCACTGAAAAGCTACTCAGGGAAGGACAGTGCAAACTTTTATCAACTGAATTAAATACAATGACAGTTAACAGCAGATAGCCCAATAAGCTTGATAATAAGCAACAAGGTCAGAACATAGGCATTTGAAGGTCTTATTAAAAAAGAGGCCTGTCCTCACTAATCTATATCTTCTTCTGATTAAGTGGCTACATTCAAGTTATCATATATTCAATACAGCAGATTTGTTCAAGTTTGTTCCATGTATACAATCCATTCAAAAATCAATCAAATAAATAGAGAAATAACATTCAAAGAACCCAGGGAGAAATAAATAAATAAATGATTTTCCCTTATTTTTTTCCCCAGATCATCACTGACAGAAATATTTCTTCACTTACGCAACTGAACCACAGCACTTTCCCCATTTGTTGCAATGTAATGCAGAGTTTGTTCTCCATAATAGGATGCTCCTGTTTTATCAACGTCAGTACTAGCTATTACAAGCACAGCAGTGGCTATTGAGATGTAAAAGAAGCACATAAATAATAATTAGAATGTTAAAAAAAAACTACCTAAAATATGAATAATTTAAGTTTATAGAAAAAGAAACTTCAACACACACTGAAATGCAACTTTCAAGTATCACAGATTACAAGCCTTTAAGTTCCAATCAAATGGGCACAACAATGGAAGGGGGGGGCTGCCTTCCTATCCTGCCCAGAAGACTCTGAGAAATAGAATGGTGAACAATGGTCAGCAGGATTCTTATTACATTTTTATAGAGTGAGCCCTTTTCTAGACATTAAGTGATTTGTAGAAACTGAAGTTATCATCCTGATTCCATATGTTCCTTTAGGTGCTGCATCCACACTACAACAGCTGAAGCAGATGGAGAATATGAAGACCTCTAAGTATGCCTGGGCTGAAATGCCTACCCACCTTAGCCAGCACAATGCATGATGAACGATGACAGGAACCGCAGTGCAATTAGATCTTTAAGACTACTCATTCTCAGTCTCTGAGATAAATTATCATCTTTGCAAGGCAAATGTGTCTACACTGCTTTTATACGGAAGCTGTACTAATTATTTCTAGAAAAAAAATTAGTTACTTGCACTAATTGGCAGCCATCAACGAAGATTCAGAACGAACCTTTTAAGACACACTTAAATATAAAGCCAGGAGGTACATACCAGGTAAGAGTACATAATTGGCTTTGCGCTGGCAGAAGTGTAATATTTTAATGTTGGTTCATGAGAGAAGATTGATCTGTTTGAATAAAAATTCTGAGTTACTGATTGTTTTCTTTAGTTTCATATGCAAAAGCATTGTATCAGGATTTTTGAGTATGAATCCACCTAATTTATAAAAGCAGTGTTTTGCACCTTTCAACCATTTCCTGTTATAACCTCCAGATGGCAGACATCAGAGAAGCTCTTATAAGTGTTTACCAAGTAACACCAAAAATTCAGTGTCTTCCTCCAGATGAGGTACCTTTTTCTTTGTTATTGATGTATTAACATACTCTTTGTTCTCTCTTAGAAAAGCTTGTTTTTATTGTTTGGAAGCTAGTACGCAGAATAGCCCTATTTAAAACAAACTCACCTTATAGATTTGTGTATATTGTATTATCTTTCTAGCCTACTTTTTAACAATTTCTTAGATTTGTGAGAGGAATGTCCTTCCCTAATTTCGTAAGTTCCATGCCCCCCCAATATATATCCTCTGAATTGAATGCTCCCTAACTGAGATAAATAAATAAATAAATAAATAATCATGACATCATTTCTTGTTACATTTTGGAAAAACCATCAGACCAATATGTTTTTAGAGGCAGAGAAAAAAGACAGCAAATTACATCAGGAAATTTTTTACACAAAGATCCACTGGGCTGAATAGAAAATGGGCTAATATTGTAACATTCCTATTGATTGGCATTTCACTGATATCTATATCCGTCTGACTTTCTCCCAACAAAGTGAGCACAGCATTACTGTATGATGTGGCTCCGTACGACTAGTCTTGTAGAATGACTTAAAATATGTTAAAACTGAAGTAAACATTTGTTTTCAGCATTTGGGTTTACACAGTCACATGCCAACATAGTGACACTCCGAGAGCAGAGGTGGAGGCCCTACTTGCGTAATTAGTCCATCAGATATAAAGGATAACGTCTCTTTAGTAGCCACCCACACTCTGTACTTAGAGATCTGTATTCAGTTTAATGCCAGTCAGATACTATCATTAAAGGCCATGAAGAAAGCTCCAAAATCTTTCTTATTTACTTTGACCAAGAGTTAGAACTCTACTGCATATGGTGCTATTTTTACTAGTTAATTTTTATTTTATCATTGCTTTTATTGCTACACGTATGGTTTCAAATCCAGGTGTATGGTGTCTGTCAGTTCAATAGATATATAAACACCCTGAGAAATAAGGGGAGGAAAAAATGATTCTACCTTTATTATTCCATAGCATTGTCACCTTATCAGCTTTGAAGAAACTCTTGTTGGCCAATGCAGCTTGTGGGCCTCCAAATTCAGGGTACAGGTAGAGCCTTACAAAAGATGGAGCTCCTTTGCTTCCAGGGACATATACAGCAACCTGTGGTAACAATATTTCATGAATTCCCAAAAGCAGCACAAAGAAAGAAATGGATGAATGTCTGTTTGTTTTTTAAAAAATGTACGAAATGAAAAGCATGGAGGGGGAAAAAACTATAAAGAAGCACCTTGGTTGGCTGATCTCCTGGTGACAACACAAAATCAGTGACCTTCTGCAAATGAAGTTTATTTGCAATTGTGCCTGCAAAATTACAATTGTACTTAATTTAATATCATTAACAAACAATGTACATAGCTATACTAAATGGTTTATGATGTAATGATGACATTAATTTTAAAATAGGATTCTTGACTTGGCACATTAATAACTTTAAAATAGGCTTTCACTGAAATGATACATTTGGGCAGGATACAAGTGTGATAAAATAAATCTAACACTCTTTTTAGAAATCTTTTTTTAAAAAATTGGCCAAATTATTTTAGGCAGTCCCATCATAAAGTAATATGATGGCATACACACAAATTAAGCCTGACAAAATATCATAAGCCAGTGTCCGTGCTTTATCATCTCAGTTTTATTTTTGAATAAATAATCTTTCCTTTTCAGAAATTAATGTGTTCCTGTCTCTTGTGTGTTTGTGGTGTATAAGATCTGGTCTCTAAATGGCCACACATCTGCTCAAGTTAAAACAGCTCCCTCCCTAAGGGCTAGGAGAAATACAGTCCTAACTTCAGGAATAATCAACTGCTGCTGATACAATCCCCTCCAGCATGCAGTCAAATGTTGACAAATCCCACATATATGTTGCACATTAGAGCAGAAGTGGGCAACTGTGGCCCCCCAGACATTTTTAGCCTACAATTCCCATCAGCGCTGGCCAACACAGCCAGTGGCAAGGGGTGATGGAAGTGACTTTCCAACAAAAGCTGGAGAGCCACACCTACCTGCCTCTGGGCTAGAGCATTTACAATGGCACCCTGATTGTTGGGTGCATAGCCATTTGGGTGAGACAGCATTCCTGGAGATCAGGTCTGCCTGCATTAATGAGGGAAACGTCAATGTTATGACACTATTTATGCATCAGACATGGGGTAAAGTAAAAGCCCCTCCTATCCATTTTTATTTTCCTATTTTGGTTGCACTGTCGGATACAAACCTCCATATCGAAGAACATTTCTAAATAAATGTGCATAGAATTGCCTGCTAAATTTTCTGCAGCCAATCTTTCAATCTATCTGTCATATACTTCTGGTCGAGCCAAGAATGCATTAAGATAGTGAGTTGTACCCAGGGTTTGTCACAATTATATTAAATGCATTGAAATCAATGGGATAGAATTTAGTCACAACCCTTACTGATTTCAACAGGCCTAGTCTACATAGGTCACTAGAAAGATAAGTAAGTGGGTGCTAGATCAAATCAATCTTGAACTTATATTACTGAATGAAACTTCACAATTATGTCAACATGCCGAAAAAAGGCTGTGATTTTTCAAATACAGAGAGTTGTGATAAATTAAGCAGCTCAAAATGTTAAAAGAAACAATGAACAAAGACTAAGCAGGGAAGCTTATCTAGAGAACAAAAAAGGACTTGCATACTGAAGTCGTTGTTTTCAAAGAAGTGTAGTTCATTGTTAACACTCCTGGCACATATACTTTCATCATCTGACCAGGAAGGGCACCTAATGATTAAAGGAGGGAAGAAGGGACAATTATGTTAAAGCAAGAGAAAAGTAATACCTTTAGGACAGCCATTACTTCAGAACATTAACATAAAAATATCTGGAATGAAAATATTTCAGTATTATTAGAATTATACAGAATATTGCTATTTCTCACAAATGGTTACTTCACATATTCCCTAGCCCACTGTTCTAGTCCAACAATACAGAATTACTTAAATTAAAAATGATTCTTCATATTATAAACAATGCAGCTAAACAAGCTTTACAACTGAATGGATAAATTCTAAGATTTAAATTATATTTTATGTATGTGGCTGAAATCTTATTCAAGTTGATGTAACAGAAGTGTGTCAGAGGTTACACCCAAGCAACTAGCATTGTGCAATGAACTGCACAATTCATGTCACATCGTGCAAATCATTGGACAATTCTTGATTGCACAACTGATTGGGTGGTTAACAATTATACAACCAACATATGCTTCACAACCATCACACGACAGGGTTGCAGAAGTGCTTCATGGATATTATCTCCACCCTGCCACAAGTTCTCCTACCACTTGTATGGCTTTACATTATGCACACATAATTGTGCAACAGGATTTCAGCCAACAGATTCTAAATAACAAATAAATAACAGATGTAAATCATAACAGTAAACTTTCTTAGATGTTACGTACCAGTTTTGCATCTTTTTCTGGATCAAAGACTTTAAACATTTTCCAGTTTTCAGATCAAAAATGTGAAGGTTGGGTTCTCCTGCTTTACTATCTTTTGCAGCTGCAACAAAAATATTAACATTGCAGCCATGGCCTCAACAGTTACTTTTTTGTATACTCTCCTGCTCTATGCTGATTTTATGGCACATTCTCTTAGTGTATTTTGTTATACACAAAAATAGAAAAAGTGGCTGTCCTTGATTGCATATTCTTTAGCTATGAAAAAGTATTTTCCTCCTCCTAATAAAAAATATTTTTACACTATATCAACATTTCCAGTCCTTCAAACTCTAGAAGCAGAATGAACAATTCAATATTCCTGTCACATAAATTGCCCTCTAATCTCTCTCACACACACATTCACCCATTCACTCACACACACATACTGTACACTGTAATTGCCCATCTTTGGCATAAGTCATTTGCCTTCATACAGAATCATTTGTTCTAAAAGCAAGAAACAGGGATGTACTTGGTCTCTCTTTGTAGGTTTACCTATACATGACCTAGAATCCACAACAGAAATTTTCCAACAAAATTTTATTTCCCAGAAGTAGGGGTGGACAATTTGTGACTTTCCAGATGTTGTTAGAACGTCATTTCCATCAGCTCCAGCCAGTACAGTGAATGGAGGTGTTCACCTTCCGGGGGTGGGTGGGTTACACACTCCCATGGCTCTGCCCGTAAAGCAGCTTAAGGTGAAATTACAGCAGAGCTGCAGTACTAGATATATTAAGTATATGCTGATTTAGTTTATTGATAGCATTTTAACCCTGCTTCTCAGCTGCTTTGTATGTCCCACTGTCCTTTAGAGCAGTGGTCCCCAACCTTTTCAGAACCGTTTGGGGGGCTGGGAGCACCCCCCCCAATAGCCGGTTGGTGTGGTACATTCACGGGTGGGGGTGGCATGCTTATGCGTATGCAGATGAGAGGGGCGTACAAGTTCACCCGCGCATGTGCGCCACACCCACCATGTGGTTGTGCAGGGGGGGCGGGAGATCTGTCTCCGCGGCCCAGTCCTGTGAAGCCCACGGACCCGGACTGCGGACCAGGGGTTGGGGACCTCTGCTTTAGACGGCATACCTTTGCAGCTGCTGGCAAATTTTACAGCTACAGAAGGGTGCCACAGTGTCCTTTTGCATCAAAAAACCCCACAAGAATGCACAGCAGAGTATCTCTGAGGTTTTTGCTGCAAGAGGGGGGAAAAAGGAGATCACTGTTCAGGATCACCTGCTTTTGGGCTGCCATTTTGCAATGGTGGCTAATTTGGCAGTGGTAGAAGGCCAAGGGCCTGAACAAAAGGGGCTCAAGGGCCAAAGAAGAAGGATCTGCCACATCTGTTAGAGAGTTTCCATGAGCATTCTATGTCTCAGAACAAACAGGGCTGAAGCTATGATTACAATGAAGGCAGCTGAAGCAGATATTGAAGTACTTACTTGTGTAGGGCTGCCACGTTACTAGAACATTGCTCTTTGGAGAGAATTCAAGGCAAACTGTCTTTGGCAGATCAAAAGAATGCAGCACATTGTGGCTGGTGACATTCACAATGTTTACTCTGGAACCAAAAAAGGTCACGTCAACAAAGCTCGATTAGAGTGGTTAATTAATAGCCATTTTAGCTGTTCTAAATCTGCTTGAGTTTGCCCACATGAGAAGAAACAAACTGTTTTCTGTTCACCTTAATAATATTGAATATTGCAGTATCGCAGAAATTTTTAAAAAAATAATAAGGAAATTCCTAATTATTAGCTCCAAGTTCTTCATCTTCTTTACATACATATTTTATGACTCTGTTCTTAAATCTAGAGACAGGCAGAAGTCGCTTTTCAAGTCCCATATGGCACACATGATTGCTTGAGCATGATTCCAGGAACTAGAAAATGAACCTCTATACATTTTAATTTTTTACAGATTTAACAAAACAGACATACACACATACTGTATATATGTATAATGCTGAGAACTGTGCTCTTTGGGAACAAACTCAAAAGTTCAGGTTTAGACTGTAACAAGCAACAAGGACAACTCTATTAGAAATTAGCTTGGTCACATTATCTTACTCTGCTGGCAGATATCACAGTAACACTATGTGACAGCATACAAACTACTCTTCTGTCAGAAGGAATGGACAGCTGGGAATAGAAGGAAATACAATATTTCCTTACTGCCACTTAATGTATAGAAGAATATGATGTACTAAGTGCCCACAAACTTATGTTTTTTAAAAAATAAAATACTGACTGTTCTCCATTGCACCAAGCGAAAAGTGAACCATCTTTGCTGAAAGTAAAGACTTTACTGTTTTTTCCAGACTCTCTGAAAAACAAAAAATAAAGGCAGATGTCTATTACAATTCAAATATACTGTATATAACAAGAAAACACATTAACAGGATAAATGGCTAAATATCTCTATAAAATTGTAAAACAATGAAATAAATGTTTTCATTTTTGTATTAATATCAAGGCATACAGGAATAAAATTTCAAACATTACATTTTTTTTTGATTGGCCAAACTAAAACAGCGGCTTTAATCTCACCATTTTAAAAAAATCCCTGGAGAACAATCCTTGAACTGACCAAAGGCCAGATAAGGGGCAGTTGAATGTGACATAAGTGCTGCTGCATTAGAGCAAGGAAAGGCTCTCTTGAGGAAAGGAACTTCTAATAAAACAGGTCCTTAATGTGCTCATGTGGGTATAGATGCTACCACAGTATGTTTGGGAAGAAGCCAAGGAGTCTTGTGTGCAACAGCAAATGATCAGTACAGTATTTCATTCATTTTCCAATGTGACCCCAAATGAATCCCTGAACAATACCAGTCCTGGAAGGGATACAATTCACTGACTTCCACTGATCATAATCGGATGGAAATGGGAAACACAGAACAAAGTTTGTTCTCTCTCATAATTTCATATATACACATGTGACATTAGCATGTCTTAACAAGCATAATTTAAAGGCCACCTTTCCAGGTAAACCACAAATACATTAACTGTTTGGAAGCAATTTTAGAAAAAAAATTATTTAAAATATTTTACTCTGCCTTTCTCCATAAAAGGACCCTGGGTAACTTACATCATTAAAAGAGATGGATAAAAACAATAAATTATTCAAATATTTAAAATGAATTAAATATACATTATATTAAAATTGCTAAATAAAAATATTATCAAAACAAATCAAAACAACAAAAAATTATTTATTTATTTGATTTATACTCCGCCCCCCTAGACACTTTTAAAGCCTCACTTAGAAAACTAGTCACTAAGAGAAAGGCTGCCTGAAGATAACTGGAACATTTGCCGATTTATCTAGGAACAAGGATTTCTTGTATGGTTCCTGTAGCAGAATGCAAATACACGTACTGGCCTAGAATTACCATACTTATTTAGAGGTGCAATTTGAGCCTCTAGCTGTGTTGTGTGAGAGATGTATGTTGTTGTTTAGTTGTTAAGTCATGTCCGACTCTTTGTGACCCCATGAACCAGAGCACATCAGGCCCTCCTGTCTTCCACTGACTCTGGGAGTTTGGTCAAATTCATGTTGGTAGATTCAATGACACTGTCCAACCATCCAACACAGGCAGTATCCCTATTTCCTCATCTGCCTTCCGACTAACCAGGAGCACCTCTGCCTTGTTTGGATTAAGTTTCAGTTTGTTTGTCCTCATCAAGACCATTACTGATGCCAAGCACTGGTTTAGAGTCAGGACAACTTCCCTGGAATTAGGTGGAAAGGAGAGATAGAGTTGGGTGTCATCTGCATATTGGTGACACCAAACTCCAAAACTCCTTTCCCAGCAGTTTCATGTAAATGTTATTGTCATCTGCCCTGAGGAACGCCACAGGCCAATGGCCAGGGCATTAAGCAGGAGTCACCCAGCACCACCTTATGAGTTCTCCCCTCCAGGAAGAACTGGAGCCACTGTAAAACAGTGCCTCCGAGTCCCATCCCAGAGAGGTGGCCCAGAAGGATACCATGGTCAATGGTATCGAAAGCTGCTGAGAGGTTGCGATATTGCCCTGCGCGTCCATTACCTCCTCCGACACAGGTCACCCTACAGAAGTATGTTGCACACCAAAGTCTTCTAATAAAACAGGTTTATTTGTTAACAATTCTTCAGCTTTGTTTATGTCCACACTTTCCATTTCTGGTTCCAATAACAAGTCATCACTTTTAACCTTTTCAAATCACATCAATTCCCCTTTTAACTGAAGGAGTGAAGAACTCAAAACTCCTGAACTCCACTTGGGAATACTGCCTGATCCATCAGGTGCATAGTCAGATAACATCATTGCTAAGGGTGGAAAACCCAGCCCACCTCTGGCTCCCAAACCTTTTTGCCCGGGTTCAGCCTCACTCTCGGTTGGAAGGGGCTGGCCCCATGGGCTCTCCACCATTGTCCTTCTCTTTGCTGCCAAGCTTTATACTCTTTGCATTTCTTTCTTTCCTCCGTCTCTCCCCAATAGGGTGGCTTTCTATATGCTCGTCTTTTCCACTCCTTTTCTACATATTGCCTTGGAAAGTTGAATTCTACCCATTCTCCTGTCCAGGGGTCTTCTTGTATTATTTCAACTAAATCCTCCTCCTTTTCTACTCTCTCCTCCTACATCCAACAAACTTCCTCTTCCTCCATCTTTAGACTAACCTCTCCCCTCCTCTCGCCTTCTTTTTTATCCTCCTCCTTTCCCATCAAAATGGTGCCCTTTCATGTTGGTGATCCTAAACACAAGTCCTGTAACTCTCCCACAACGTTTGTCAATTTTTTCTCAGTCTTTCTGCTGGGAGAGATGGGCAGGACACTCTGTGGAATGCCATTGGAGGTATTCCCAGCCTCATAGAGGTCCAGCAGAACCAACAGTGACACACTCCCCCTGTCCAGTTTCTAGCGTAGGTCATCCACCAAGGTGACCAAGGCTGTCTTGGTCCCATAGCCAAACCAGAAACCAGATTGAAATGGGTCTAGATAATCCGCTTCCTCCAAGAATCCCTGGAGCTGAGAAACCACCACACGCTCCAGTACCTTGCCCAGGAATAGGATGTTTGAGATTGGCTGGTATGATCCAATACACTGGGAACCAGGGAGGGCTTCTTCAGTAGTGGTCTTCTGACTGTCTCCTTTAAGCAAGCAGGGATCCTACCCTGCTGCAAGGAGGCATTTACCACCCCCCATACCCAATCTGCCATTCCTCCTCTGGCTGCTTTTATGAGCCAGGAAGGGCAAGGGTCCAGTACACATGTGGTGGCATTCACCTCTCCAAGAATCCTGTCCACATCATCAGGCTTGCACCAAATGAAAAGTATCCATTAAAACAGAACAAGGCAGGGGCAAAGTTACATCCACTGGGTCTGTATCAATTATTACAGTATCCAAGTCACAGTGAACCCGAGTGACTTTATCTGCAAAGTGTCACACAAATTTCTCACAGTCGGTTGTGGAGTGGTCAATATTTTGTTCTTTTCGTGGGGCATGTACTAAGCCTCTGACCACTCAAAATAACTCCACTGGATAACTTTGTGCAGATGCAATGGCAGCAGCGAAGAACTTTTTCTTTGCTGCAGCCACTGCCACAGAACAGGCCTTCAAATGGGTTCTAGCCCGTGTTCAGTCAGATTCACTCTGAGTTTTCCGCCATCGTCACTCTAGTCTCCATCCCACTCGTTTCATCACTGCCGGCTCCCTGGTGAACCATGGGAGAGGAAGCTTAGGAGCAATTGTGTCCACCGCCCTGGCATTTCCCCATTCCAGAGATCACCAAGAGCATCGACAGGATCACCTGCCGAGGCAACAGGAAACTCCCCAAGAGCTGTCAGAAACTTGGATCCATCAATCTCCTGGGGGGGATCATCCTAATAGCTCCTCCATGCTGAGGCAACAGGAAACTCCCCAAGAGCCCTCAGAAAACGGTTCCCTTCCCCCTCCTACAATGATTCTCTTGTCTCCTCTCCCCATATCTCCCTCTCCCCGTATCTCCCTCTACCCAGTGTAATGCCAATGGCAGCTCCCTGCTCCCCTTCATGGGCCTCCTTATTTGAAAGACACATCCCGCTCACCCCAGACTTCATCCTGCCTAGCATGAAAAACAAGGTCCAGAGTGTGCCTTGCTATATGTGCGGAGCCAGAAACGCTTGGGACAGACCCATGGTTGTCATGGAGGACATGAAGTCCTGAGCCACTCCTCATAAGTTGGTCTCAGTGTGGACATTGAAGTCCCCCAGTGCTATGAGCCTAGAGGACTCTAACATCACCTCTGATACCAACTCAGTCAGCTCAGGAAGGGAGACTGTTGAGAAGCAGGGTGGACGGTACCCCAACAGAATCCCTATTCTGTCCCAGGCACCCACTTTTAGGTATATACACTCAAAACCAGAAAACTGTGGGACAAGGCATCTGGTACGGGGATGGAATCACAATAGACTACTGCAACACCACCTCCCTGCCCCCCCCCCAGGTCTGGCCTGTTACCGCTGCACAGAGAACCCGGGTGGGCAAAGCTGGGAGAGACCAACTCCCCCAGCTTCATCTAGCCAGGTCTCTGTAATACAGGCTAGATCAGCCTGCTCCTCCAGGATCAGGTTCTGGATGGCTGATGCTTTCCCTATTACTGACCTAGTATGCAGCAGCAGCATTTTTAACCCTGGGGGACTATTGCCACATCTATCCAGGCTGTTTGAATTGGGAGACAATTTGGGGGTGACTAGGATCCTGTTCCCTTCCCCCTCCTACAATGATTCTCTTGTCTCCTCTCCCCATATTCCCTCTCCCCGTATCTCCCGCTACCCAGCGTAATGCCAATGGCAGCTCCCTGCTCCCCTCCATGGGCCTCCTTATTTGAAAGACATATCCTGCTCACCCCAGACTGACAGCAACAGGCAGGCAAATAAAAAGGAATCCTAGGCAGGAAGAATGGACCTCACCCTTATTTTTCAATCCCGAAACCAAACAACCAACACCCCACCTTTCCTGAGAGGGCTCTGCTTATGTAGGCCCCTTCTCCCCTGAAGCAAGGTAGCTGGTGTTGACCAGGGGGTGGGAAGCAGCCAGATGCACAGACCCAGTACTTCAAGGCAGTAAGAGTCTGGAGCCAAACTTCCACAGGGGAAGCTACAGCCGACAACAGCAGTAACACACTCTCTCACCCAGTGTCCTGTGAGATGGCGGATGACTCCTCCTCTTTCAATCCAAAAAGTCAAATTTGTATCCCTGTGCACCTTCCTGATCAGCCACTTCAGGCATAATGCATTTTGAATGCACTGAAAACATCTGAAAGGCACATTAGATGCCCATTCAAATACAGAGGTTGCATGCACTGATTTCAATAGAATGTGCAATGAAATGCACATCAAAGGACACACTAAGTGCAATATTAAGTGTACAGAACATATGCTTTCAGGGGTATATACAAGTGAGGATGCTGTGTACTTACATGGGAAATATCTTTATTGAGTAACTGATTCAGGCACATCAGTGTCTCACTATCTGATTTTTCTAGTATCTTGTACTACCCATGCTAGCTAGAAATGGAAATTTAGAGCACATGTACCTGAAGACATTCTGATTAATTTTTAAAAATCTGGGAATACGACATTCTCATTCAGTTGATTTGTAGGAAGGATAATTTCTATTAACAGCCAGGAATATATGTCTAAAGCTTTTGAATGGAAGCTCTACTTAACAATGCATAAACCAACCAAACACATTTTTACTAAGCTGATATATGTACATTAGTTGTCCTGTTATAACAATCCAAAATGGTTAACAGTTGACAAAAATGAAGAAACAAATACCTTTGAAAAGCTGTATTTTCTGTTAACTGAGGAGGCCCATTCAGCATATGGAGTCCTTCTGATCCTCGCACTAGCAAAACAAAAGCATTTATAGATTAGGTTTTGAAGGAAATAATATTTATGCTGATGTAATAAAAACGTGACTGAGACAGTCTTATCCCTGTTTAGTAAGAAAAAAATATGAACATATCTTTGCCTGTACATCTAACTTTACTACTCAAAAAAAAAAAAATCAGATCAAGAAGATGGAAATAAAGAAAATTCCTCATTTAATTCAAAGAAGGACAATGGACTTTGGTTACAAAACAGGGGTGGGTAGTCTTAAGAGATTCAGGAGTCATAAATGGTCATACATGAGCTGTAGAGAGCGAAAGGGCTTTTACACACTCCCATTTTTTTCAACAAAAATTGAAACTCTCCAGGGGCCAAAAATATTTAAAAAAAAAAAATCAAGAGGCATAGGTGCAAAGAGGTTCAAATCATGGCAAAATTGCCTCCCAACTCTCTTAGAGAGCACAAAAAGGTGTTTTGAACCCCCAAATGTTGTTATGCTATATTCTAGGACTCTCCTTTAGGACTCTGGAGCAACATGCAAACCTTGGTCTACACCATGCCCACCCTGCTTTAGAAGAAACCATCAATAATAGCTCAATATTGTTGTGCCTGCTCCTTGAGATATGTGATTTGACCATGGTGACATATGCCTTAGTTACATCCAGTTTGGATTACTAGCATTCTCCATGGAGCTGCCTTTGAAGAATGTTTGGAAATTTCAGCTGTTTCAAAATGCTGTAGCCAGCTGACTTGCACTAGTTACAGGGAGTATGGAACTTCCTGCTTACAACAGCTTCAGAACTGGCCTGCTAGTCTGTTTCCAGGCCCAATTCAAAGTACCAATTATTACCTATAAATAAAGCTCTAGATGGCTTGGGTCCAGACTGTTTGAAGAATCATATCACACCATACGAGCTTTCTTGGTTTTTAAGTTCTTCTAGGAAGGCCCAGTTCCACCACCTTCCCAATCTCCTTTAGCAAGGACAGAAGAAAGGACCTTCCCAGTGGTTGCCCCCAGGCTTTGGAATGCACTGGTCCAAGAAGTCAGGTGGTCCCCCTTCCTCTTGACCTTCTGTCCCCAGATAAAGACCTTCCTCTTCAGGCAAGCATTTAATCAGTAAGTGTCTCAAGAATGCTTTTTTAAATCTTAGATTTGTAAATGTTTTTAAATTGTTTTTAATATGATGTTTGTTTTTTAAATCATCATTCATTAGGCATCCTTCAGTCTCGAAAGACTATGGTAATGTACTCTGTATGGAGGACTTGGAACAGTGTCTACTGTGGAAAATCAATGGAAAATTCATAAAGGTGGACTCCAGATGGAAGGGTATAGATTCTACTCCTGGTTGCTAGACTTTCAGTTTTACATACACTTGCTCAAAAGTAGAACTGGATGGGAATTACACTCAGTGAGGACAAAATTCTAGCTTTGGTAAATTGTAAAAATAAAGTCAGTCAGACTTCACACCAAGCAAGTATCTTACATTTTTTATATGGAAGGACTATTCACTCCTCCTGACCGAAGCAAGGTAGATTAGAGCAGGGGTCCCCAACCCATTTCAACCCGTGGACCAGCTGGGGAAGGCAGGGCACCCCCCCCCACGCTCCTGCACATGTAGGAACAAGTATGAGCATGCGTAAATGGTGCGGCGTGTTGGAGCACGTGTGCATGTGCAAATCAGCTGTGCAGGGATGAGTGTGTGCAGGGGTGGGGCAGGAGGTCTGTCTCCGTGGCGCAGGCCAGTTCAGGCCACGGACTGGCACTAGGCCACGGACCGGGGGTTGGGGACCTCTGGATTAAAAAATAAGCTTTATTATGTAAAGCTGTAACCTTGTGAAAACTTTACTAGAAATACATCAGTGGCTGTATTTTAACTTCTGCAATGTTCTAACTTGCCCTATCTTGTTTTGTATTATGTAGATGCAGCTATCTATGATTTCCAGAAGACTCTAGTCCCAGACCAATCTAAACGCAATCGTTCAGAGTTTCCAACAGAGTTTCATCCACTTCCTACCCTACCAAAAGGGATTTGGGCCTCGGACCTTCTGTACTCAAAGCACGTACTCTTATCACCTTCTTCCATCACTCCAAACAACGGAGTCTTACAAAAACGTGCACAAAAACCGGACTCATTGCAGTACGAGCTTCCACAAGACTAGAACCTACTTCATCAAACTGGATGGCCTGCAAGCATCTAGTCTTTCCTCAAAGAGGCAGGATTGCCCTGTAAATACAGCGCAACTTTTTGCACGAGGACAGAACTCCACGCCACACTCTCGGAATAAAGGAAAAGCAGACTCGAGAAAGCCTCCCAATAACACTATCACGAACAAACTGCACCTCACAAGGACTATCCCATACAGTACAGAACTGCTAAAGGGGCGGGGGAAATGTGCTTGTTTATTAGTACCAAACTTACCTGCTAGAAGCGGCGTGGGAGGCGCCATCTTGAACTGGGCCCGCTTATTTCTCCTTCCGGGTTACGGGGAGGGCGCCCAGCCGAGAACCGTACACGTCTCTCTGTTCTGCCCCGCCAACTCAATTGCGGAAGCCAATATTCCGGTGACGTGTAACAGCCCGAGGGGAGGGGCATGGAATTTCCCTGGCCACGTGGCCCTAGGACACCCTGTTGATAGGCTGCGTGTCCGAGCCCACCCCTGATTGGACGCTGACCAGCAAAGTCAGGGGCAAACACTACCGTCGGCTCGGTGGCCTTCTTCGGCATGAGTAATGAGACAGCCGACGCATAGAGGATTTTTTCCGGGTGATAGTCCCGCCTCCCAGCCGCAGGGTGACCTGCTTCCGGAGGGTGGGACCTTTGTGAGGGGCGGTTGCTGCTTACGCGGCGCTTGGCTGAAGGGAGCCGGAGAGGCGAGGCGGACGGACGGACGGAGGGATTCTCTACCTGCCTTCCCTCACCTCAGCGCAGGGGGACCCTAGTGTTCATTCCGAGGCCAGGCATTGGTGGCGTCCGCGGGTGAAGCGGCGGTGGCGGTTTGGTGCCTGACCTGGTAGCCTGAGGCGACGGTAGCATCAGCAGCAAAGATGGTGGCGAAGCAGCGGATCCGGATGGCCAACGAGAAGCACAGCAAGAACATTACGCAGCGCGGAAACGTGGCCAAGACCTCGGTAGGGACCCCCCCCTTCCCTTGTTAACTTCCCATCCTCCGGCGCTTTCCTCACAGAGACCAGCGGCCCGTCGCCCCTCCTTTGCGAAGGCTTCTCAGCTTCCCTTCAGAGAGAGTCCCCATCCCGCTCCCTTTCGGCGGCTGCCCTTGAGGTCGGTCCCTCGCCCGGTTCTCCTCACGAACAGAAGTGGGGGAGGGAGAGGGAGAAAAGGGACACCCGGCCACCCACCCTTGGAGTCCTCCAGTGGTACCTTGTACCTTGGATCCTTTTTTCTCTTGCCGTGAAGTTTCCCCTAGTCCTGAGGGGGTCTTACTTGCGTGCAAGAGTGGGGGTCCGAAGGGAACTCTGTGACTCGTTTCGGGGAGGGTGCGGAACGAGGGCCACCAGGTGAGGCCGCTGCGGATCGGGCACTCCAGGTCCTCTACTTGCTTGCATAGAGCCGTCCTGACGTGCTGGCTCTTCCCACAGAGAAATGCCCCCGAGGAGAAGGCGTCGGTGGGGCCTTGGCTGTTGGCGTTGTTCATCTTCGTGGTGTGCGGATCGGGTAAGTTACTGATAGGTGGCAGCTGAGCCAGGCAAGTGTTTTTCTGTTACTTCATCCTAGTCAAGTAGTCCTGGTTCTGGAATCACTGATATTCAGTGATTCAGACATGGGTTCATGCAGAAGGTAGCAAATTTAAAAACAGAATTATTTTATATAATGAAAGAGAGAGGGGAGGAGAGAAAGTAGTAGTCATAATTCCATTCACACGAAGATTGGGTTGAAAGACACACTTTTCAACCTAAGACTATATATGATAAACATTCAGACAAAAGGTCATATGGACAGCGAATTCTGGAGGGGTCCAGAAATAATCCTTTGAATGTGATGGCTATGATGGTGTCACTGTTATTATAGTACAGTATTTCATTATATTTAAATTCCACATTCACAATACTAAAGTAATGGCAGACAGTTCTTGATCATAGGACATAAAAAGAGATTCAACCGTAAAATAATTGAAATGAAACAAAACAAGCAATAAGAACCATTAAATTGATAAATGTATAGGCAGTTAAGGTCATCCCAATAAATGATACATTATCATAAGCCAGTTTAAAATAAGTCTTCACACTTTGCTATAAGCAAGGAGAGTGGAAATTTTTCATGGCTTGGGGGTGGAAATTCATTCTACATTATTAAGCACGCCTTTGCAGCTGTTGTTATTTTCAAGAGATTCTCTCTTAATTCTAATATCCAGACAGATTCATAATTCAACTCTTAACAAGTAATTTCACCTCTGTTAGTGCTTTGGTATTGTTATCAGTCATGATTTGATTAAGAAAGTCTCTCTACATAATACATATATAAACTTTCTGTCTAACATACAATCTGGCCAGCTTTTCTTTATCTGACCAAACTCACTAAATAACATTAAAGTGATGTAACATACGTTCAAAGCAATGCAAGCATAAGATACTTTCCTGTAAGTATTTGTAGAATTTTTATTTCACAATCAGTCTCAAGCTCACTTCTGCAGAATGAAGTCAGTTAACCAACCCAGCTGAACAGGTTTGCATCACATAGTAATATATGTAGGTTTATACTTAATTGTGATTTGAAGCTTGCTTAAATGGTTAACTTACATATAAGGTAACCTTGGTGCAGCCAGATGGTTCATGATAAAGTCTCATTAAAAAAATAGAACCTTGGAAACTTTCCCTTTTTAATACAACAATCCTAAGCACATCTGAAGTAGGTCCTACTGAGAACAGTGAAACTTACTTCTGAGCAAAGACAGGATTGAACTGAATGCAGCATAACTAGAATGAAGACTGTTAATAAAAAAGGTTGCTTTCAGCTGGAAAACAGAAGAGGTTTTTTGCCATATGGTGAAGTTCAGTGTTTCACTCAGTTGTCTTAATATTCTTTCTTTGGCTAAAAATCTTTGTATGAAACAAATAGTGGTGTAAAAATATGATGCCTTACTTCAGACAGGTTATTAGTATTAAATTTAATACTAACGGTATTCTATAATAACTATTCTATAATAGTTTTCTGAACTATTTATTAAACTGGCAGTGACTTAATGTAAGCATGTATAACTTTTAAGATGCATCTGTTCAACATTGTCATTACCTATTTGGCTAGGAATATCTAAGCTTGTTTCCTTTTGTAGCTATCTTCCAGATTATTCAGAGTATCAGGATGGGAATGTGAAGGAGCTGAGCTTGATACACAATAATTACGTTTCTCCTGTGAACTATGAACTCTCTTTCCTGATGTTTGATAACTTGGAATTTAAATTTGCTGTCGTCTTGCTTCTGAAGAACTTTCCATGTTGGCCATATGTCATTCCAAGTTCCTTCACAAGTCATTCCAGGTTTTCTAGTCCATGCCACAGTGCCTTGAAAAAGCACCACATGTATAAAGCAATAAAGAATTATTGTTAACTTACAATCGTGGACCTACTTATTCTGTGAATCAAATTCATGCTTTATGTTATTAAATATAAGCAGTGTAGATACTTAGTGACTGCATCATATGTAAACACTGATTTTTGTTTATCTTCTGTATAAATGGAAGTGGTTTTATTTAAAATGGAGAAGGTAAGCTTATCAAATAATGACTGTGTGACTAGTTCAAAGCACACCCATGCAGCTCAGTTCACAGATATGCGCTGTGGCTTTTGTTTATCTAAAAAACATCTTATGTATGTGTAGCTTAGTTCTTATGTAGCATGTGGCAACTTAATTCTCAAACGATTCTGGTAGAAGACCTTATCCTGTGCTTCTTGGGAGATTGTTTAATGAAACAATGTAATGTAAAACCAATGGCTTAACTGACTGTAGATTACATAAAGATCAGAATTCTTCCGTCTTCAAGTGCATCAGAGATTTCACAGAATGCTTCATTGTTGTAATGTATTTGAATGTCAGTGTTTCTTAATGCCATCATTCCTTTGCTAGGGTGGGATGGGTACTACCCTTGGGATCAACTCAAGCTAAAGCTGTGGTGAGTGTGCAAACAAAAGAAAGAAAAACCACCTGGTGGCTTATTCCATAATGCTACAATGTTTACATTAACTCATCCAGAGAGCACTAACATGCATGCAGACTGAATATCACCCCACTTCAGCTGAACAAGTTAGCAGGTTAAATCAGAATTTTTCTTTTGCTGTGACTCGAGCCATTTTTATTCAGTGCCACAGCATGTTCATTTTAAAGAAGTTTTCAGCAGAGTGACGTAAGAGGGTGACATTTTCACTAAGTAGTAGGAACAAAACTGAAATGGCATTGTGACTGCTAACAACATCGTGTTGCAGAGCATAGCAAAACAGAGGTGAGATCTGGCACTCTTTTCAGGGAATGTCTTATAAGCAGGTAGTTGGACCACAAATGAACTATTTAAAGGGCTGAGATAAATGTTAGCTAGGTATAAATGGCTCTGTAAATCTCACAGGGTTGCATGACATGCTGGTAACTGGAAGGCTATATTTCTTGCCATTAGCTGTCAGCACATTCTGTAAATGAGAATCGCTTGTTTGTAATCCAGGATTTATTTCCAATAAATTACTTCAAAATTAAATATGTGTTAAGCTGTTTTCTTTTTAAGTCTTTAATTTATATGATTTATTTGAGAATTGTACATTAAATGGTGTCTGTTAGGAATTACAGATGATCAACAATTTTGGTTAACAATGCTATGCTCAGTTTCCCAGCTGGCACAGATTCCTTTGCTTTCTGATGTAGTGCCAACATCATGGGTTAGCTGCTATATTCTTCAGGTTAGTTTAATATTTGTTGTACAGAGTCAAAACCTGGTAGCATTAGAGGCAGAGGCTGAGCTATAAGGCACTCCTAACTCAGAGGTGGGTCAGCTATGGATTAGGCACAAGCCTCTTCTGCTTGCAGAAATGTCCTTTTGCTGGCACAGCCCTTTTCTCCCAGCTGATCTCAGATCTGTTGGCATAGTAATATGCTGACAGAACTGTATTGCTGCCTGGGATCTGAATAGACAGAGATGGGACACGGCAAGTGATAAGCCGAGTTACTGTAGATCCAGACTTCCTCCAGCGCAGGGACACAGCCCCAACAGTGGCATAAGGTTAGGTCAGGCCAAAGGTGTCATGAGTAATTTGCAGCATCCCTAGATTAGGAGGGATTTGGGTTCAATGTGGCTTCAGTTGGCCTAATGTAAATTCAGATGGCCCTTGGCCACTGAGAATAGCAAGGGAATAGTCTCTTGCTTCATATGATGCACAGTTAAAACATTCAAGGGGAATCAGTGATGGTGGAAACCACAAAGAAATCCTAGGAATTAGGTTATAAATATATGAAAATCGTCAGAACTGTGCATGTCCAGCAAAAGCACCTACTCCAGTACCCTTATTGTGGGTACTAGAATACGCCACACAATAAGTCGTGTCCGACTCTTCATGACCCCATGGACCAGAGCATGTCAGGCCCTCTGGAGCATGTCCACTGCCTCCCGGAGTTGGATCAAATTCATGTTGGTAGCTTCAATGACACTGTCCAACCATCTCGTCCTCTGTCGTCACCTTCTCTTGCCTTCACACTTTCCCAACATCAGGGACTTTTCCACGGAGTCTTCTCATGAGATGGCCAAAGTATTGGAGCCTCAGCTTCAGGATCTGTCCTTCCAGTGATCACTCGGTAGATTTCCTTCTGAATGGATAGGTTTGTTCTTGCAGTCCAGGGGACACTCAAGATTCTCCTCCAGCACCACAATTCAAAAGCATCAATTCTTCAGCGGTCACCTTCTTTATGGTCCAGCTCTCACTTCCATACATCTCTACTGGAAAAACCATAGCTTTGACTATGCGAACCTTTGTCGGCAAGCTGATCTCTCTGCTTTTTAAGATGTTGTCTAGGTTTGTCGTCACTTTCCTCCCAAGAAGTAGGTGTCTTTTAATTTTGTGGCTGCTGTCACCATCTGCAGTGATCAGCCCAAGAAGGTAAAATTTGTCACTGCTTCCATATCTTCCCTTTCTATTTGCCAGGAGGTGATGGATCCAGTGGCCATGATCTTAGTTGTTTTTTATGTTGAGCTTCAGACCATTTTTGGCGCTCTACTCTTTCACCCTCATTAAGAGGTTATTTTAATTCCTCCTCACTTTTTCTCATCAGAGTGGTGTCATCTGCATATCTAAGGTTGTTGATATTTCTTCCAGCAATCTTAATTTTGTCTTGGGATTCCTCCAGTTCTGCCTTTTGCATGATATATTCTGCATATAAGTTAAATAAGGAGGGGGACATCATACAGCCTTGTCATACTCCTTTCCCTATTTTGAACCAATTGTTTCATGTCCAGTTCTAACTGTTG